ATATATATAAACATGGTTAGGGGAACTCCCAGCATAATCTCTGCTTTATTTATTCTCTCATCAAACTCTGTGATTACCTGCTGTGTGGCAGTCACTGTACTAAGCCACAGTCTTCAAAGCTGAATAAGACATGACCTTGAGACCCTGTCTCAAAAAAAAAAAAAAAGACACACACACAAAAAAAGACATGACCTTAACCTTGATTAACTCCTGACTGAAAACAAGAAGCTACACGTTTGTAAACAATTCTGGCACAACACCTTAAGAACTATAACAAATTTATAGACAATGTGCAGAGCATAGCAGAGGGGAGGCCAGGGAGGAAGAGCTAGTTTAGCCTGGAAGAGGCTGGGAGGGTTCAGGGGCAGGCAACCTGAGAGGGTCTTACAGTGGGATGAGCAAGGGTACTAGGCAGAGATGAGCTCTCTGTAACATCTTCCAAACCTCTGGGAAGATGCGTTTCCAAGACATCTACGTGGCCCTGCTATTCTTTTTCACACAACATAGAAATTCCTTTGAATATTTCCAACTTCTCAAATAGAACTGACTTCATTTGTGGAGCCCATCGTAAAATTAACTTCAGTGTGCCCTGTGCACATTACGTACACAATGGACATAGTGGTGCACGAAACAGACAGAATGACTTATTATCCAGAACTTGTACTCTGGATTGCGGATGAATTACATGACATGTTATGAAGCTTTGGCCTCATGGAGAACACCTAGGGAAAACGATGGGGATGGCAAATTGACACAAGATAGATAGCATCTTGTTGAGCAGGACTTAAAAGCAAGAGCGAAGCAGCTGAGTGGAGACCCAGGGAAGAACAGGCCAGGTAAAGGGAGTGCAGCATGAAGGCTCTGGGCCAGGAGGAAGCAGGGGCTGTGTGAGTGAAGGGGAGAGTGGAAAAGGGGCCCAGGGGTAGGTTGTGTGCTGGGGCACAAGGTGGCAGGGACAAGGGGAACCGTGAGCCTTTGCCTTTGCCTACTCCCAGGGAGGGGAGAAATGACCAGGGTGTTGTGATGAGAAAAATAACATGATTCAAATGCCATTTGACGAGGTAACTTTGGCTGTTCTGCTCAGATTACATGTCAAGGAACATGAGTAAGAGGCAGACCGGGGAAACTGGCTAAGAGGCTATTGGAGTGATTCAGGAGGGTGACGATGATAGCTTGAACCAAGATGATCACAGGATGGTGGTGAGAAGAGGTAGGATTCTGGACACATTTCAAAGGCAGAGCCACTAGGATTTGCCAAGACAAGCTTTAAGCAAAGGAGAGCACACTCTGGGGAGGGGAGGATAGGGTGAAGGGAGGGCAGGGACAAGGGGAAAAAATGAGAGCCAAGACCTGTCATGTAAAGGTACAAGATCCCAATAATGAATGTAACTGCACTGTATACCTAAAATGTACCACTAAACTCAATGAGGAGAAAAAAAAAAAAAGAGAGAGAGCACACTCTACACTCTGTCTTGTTAAATGTATTACATCATTTATGTATATTATCTTGTTTAAGTATCCCAAGCCCTCTAGAATGTAAGCTATTTTTATGATAAAAGTGAGTTTTGGAGTTAAGAGTTAAGTAACTTGCTCAAGTTCATTTACTTCATAAATAACAGAGTTTCAATTCAACCTAGGCCTCTGTGAAAGCTCAGATTTTGCTCTTTGGAAGCATAGGTTTTGATCTCCTTTTCTAAGTCAAATCCAGCATGTGCTCCTAGCTCAGGCTCCAAGAGCAAGCAAGTTGAGTCATTTATATAATCCTATAACAAATAAGTGTCTGGACCTTGAATGTCTACTACTTTTCTCTGTTTGTAGTCAGGAAGCTCAAACACTACATTATCTTTTCATTTTTTTATATTTTCAGTGATTATAAATTCATTCAAAGTTGAAAAAATTGTTCAGAGAGGATCTGTGTATCATTCATATAATTTTGCTGTCTGGTAACAACTCATAAAATGACAAAATATTATCAAAATCAGGAAATTGGCATTGGCATAATACTGTGAAGATTCCATTATGTTTTACATGAGCTTGTGTGTGTATGTGTGCGTGTGTATGCGATACTGGATCTAGTTTAAAAATAGAGTAAGTGATTGTTAAGAAACAATTCTTGAGTGTGAAGAAATGGCTAAATGAATTGAGCACATTCTAATTGCTCACAACAATGAGGTAGAATACTAGGACAAGGGGAGAAGAAAAAGGCAGAGGCACAGGGAATGAGCTTGGCGAGATGGACTGCATATGGCTGAAGAGACTTCAGTACCAATTTGAGAAGTTTGGATTTTACCCAGTCATTCAAGGATGCTCTTAAGAGTCTTAAGCAGGGTGATGATACATCAGGTTTGGATTTTTCAGTTACCTTTGCTGAAAGAGTCAGTGGGATTGGAGGGAGAGTAACTAGTGGGAGATCAGAAATAATGGAAGCCAAAAAACAGATTCAGGAAGTGCCCCTCAAAATAGAGAAGGGAAGAGACTTAAGGTAAAATTGACTGGTTGGTGAAAGCTTGGATGTAGTAATAGAAATTGGAAGGAATCAAATCAAAGAAAATTGAAGTTTATAATTGGAGACATAGTGAAGAATTTAGTTATCATCAAGGGTTAGTAGGGCAGAGTGAGGAGGACAGTGGTCTTTTGAGGTGGGTGGACCTGATTTAAGTCCTGGAAATATCTCCTACCTGCAGGTTCTAGGACAAGTTCATTAATCCCTTTGATCCTCCCTTTCTTCATGATAAAATGTTGATATCATATAGAATTACTGCAAAGATGAAATACAGTTCTATTTCATGAGTTAAATTTGAGGCACTTATAGGACATAGATAACCCTTGAGGTTTGGAAACATGAGAAAGGAGTTCAAAAATAAGAAAGGATCTAGAGATAACAAATTGGAAGCAATAGCAACCTTTGGAATAAAGCCGTCTGCTATGGAATGTAAGTGAATACACAAAGAGGTTAGAAGTAAGTGCAAGAGTTTGAACAGAAGTCTGAGAGTGAGTGATGTCCCTGAACAGTAATGAGTACTACAGACCAGTGTAAAACCAGCAGCTCCGCAATGGGGTGCTGTTGCTACTTTGCAGAACATATGAGGGACCCATTCTTTATTCCCATTTTCTGAAGGCAGCAGGAAAGGTGGGTCAGATTCTTTTCGTGAGGTCACAGATCTAGGAAGCAGCATGGCCAGAGTTCAACACTTAGGGTCTAAACCTGTGCCCTTAAGCACTGCACTGTCCTGGGAGAGGCTCACAGGCAAGGAGCCAGGAGAGTGAGAGTGGTGACCTGAGAGAAGAACCTAAGGAATGGATGATAGTGACAGCTTGAAAAGCAGTCCAAGTACTCTGTAGTCTTCAAGAAGTCTCTGGGAAACAAGCTGAATTCTCACTCAGAAGGCAAAGGAGGGATCTCAGGATCCCTCACAGATTGGCACGAATGCCTACAGTAGTAAGGAGGTCTCATTACTTTTTAATTGAGATATAACTCATGTCCCCTACAATTTACCATTTTAATGTACAATGCAGTCTTAAACTAGGTCACACACACATGACCACTCTCTAACTCCAGATCATTTCCACCCTCCCCCACAAGAAACCTCACACTCCTTATCAGGCATTTCCATTCCCTGCCAGCCTCCCACAACTACTAATTTACTTTCTGTGTCCGTGGATTTGCCTCTCGCAGACTCTCATTATTCTGAAAACTTTTTATTAAGATGATAGGCCCAACGAAACTATATATGTTTACTGCAGGCAGTGTGGTGCTTTGAGGTGTGTACTTATTGTGGAATGGTTATATCAAGCTCATTAGCACACCCATTACCTCGTGGACTCAGAGTTTGTGTTCCAAGAACATTTCTGAGCTGTTCTCTTAGCAATGCACAAGTACACAGTGCATTATTGTTGACTCTGGTCACCATGCTATGTGGTAACTCTCCAGACCTTCTTCACTCTCTCTGATGAAAACTTTTTCATACCCTTTGACTGGCAACTCCCTGTTTCTACTCCAACCTTCATACTGGAAGCTGCCTCTTCCTCCCATGCTTACTTATCCTGACCTATCAAGCGCTTTTCCCAATTTCTCTCCCTCAGTTCTACCCTGGCTTTCTGGAGCATCTGGGACAAGCCTCTCCCTCTGGTCTAAAATAATGTTTCCCAAGGTAGTTGAGGGAGTGAGATGAAGGGAGGGAGACGTTCGAGGATGAAGCAGTAAGAGCCTTGGATGACACAGTGAAAAAAGCTGTGACCCTCCTCCAATTCCTTCACAATCGTGATAGAACCAAAGAAACTATTCAGTTTAGACTTTTGGTAGTTTTTGAATTCTCAGAAACTTGCTATCCCTCTTTTGTTTTAACAAAGGACAAGCTCTGAGCCTTCCCTACATCATTATTTAGCAAAAAAAAAAAAGTTATGGTTTTATCTGAAATGTTCCTGGGGGCACTATACTCATCTGTGGGCTAATCAATTCAATTCATATATGCTATTAGGAGGTGGCGTTTGGTTGGAAGAGGGGCTGTGACCTGAAAGAGTACATTCTTAATCCCAGCTCCTCCCTTATTTCTCTCTGCTTCCTGGCTGCCGTGAAACAACTTTCCTTCCCTCAATCCCTTCTACCATGTCATCTCTGCCTTGGCACCAGTCGATTATGAACTGAGCCCACTAAAACCATGAGCCAATACAAATCTCTCTCCCTTTAAGTTGGTAGTGTTGAGTATTTTGTCCTGGCCTTGGAAAAACTGAATAATACAGAGGTTCGATTTCCACAGTACTTATTTTTCACATTGACTTTCCGATTAGGATAGTTAAATAATTGATATAAACATTATTTTAAAATAAGCTGTCTACAATGAGAGAATTTGAAGAAAACATTCAGTGATGAAAAGCAAGCTGGTCCAGGATAAGGATAAGCAAAAGACTGTGGGAGGGGTGGTAATGCCTGGTGGTTGATTTGATAAATCACTCTTACAAAGGCAGTATTTCATATACTTGGAAGTTAACATCTAGTTTTCCTATGGTTCCTTTTCAAAATATGTCCAAACAATGTTAAAGCAGTTGGACCACAACAGCTCTGTATGTGCACGAGGTATCTTATTAAAATTCTTATGGTTGCCAAATATCTTCTAAATATAACAAATCAAACCACCCCCTTTCAAAACCTGTAATTAGTCCACCTGTGTGCACACAGGACTTTGAAATCTCCCATCTCTGCTGTCAACTGCAATCAAGTCTTCCCTAGATTTCTTGTTTTCCAGATTTACCCAAGACCCCATGACTTCTATCAGCAATTTATTTTTCTCTGGAAATATAGCCTAGTTAGAAGATTCCAGAAGAATTCAAAATTAAACTGTTTTGCTGTTTTCTCTCTGTGCAATGGAGGCAATCAAACACCACTTCCCCCAATTTTCTCTTGCTTCACTTTTCAGGCGAGAGAGGATTTTTTTTTTGCCTCTTTTGTTTGTCCTCAGTTCACCCCTTCCCCAGCTGTGCTGAGACACCTTTTCTCATCAGTTGCAATTCATTCTTTAGCCATGGCACTTTGTAGCTCCACAGACCTCAATACTGCAATTCGGGATGTGTTCCCAGAGTCTGTGAGTCATCCTGGGAGAGAATAGAGGATGCACAGAGGGACTACTGAGGGGACCTTCCAGTAGTTCTAATGCTGCCAACCCCAAGCCAGGCAAGATGGCCCCAGGCAAATCCTAAGCCTTGGTCTGAGTTTTTCTCTTCAACTAATGCCTCTCCCATAAATGTCTCTGATGGCAACCTCTGAATGTGGCTTTGTGCCTCCCTGTTTAGCAAACTAGAGTGCCTGTTTCACATGCAGGGACTGGGAAGATGAGCTCTGCTGATACAGGATAATCACTTTTTTAACACAAGTAAAGTACATTGAACTTGACAGAAAGCGGAATGTTATAAAATTAGAAATTTCAAACAGAACCAGAGCTATTTGTTGAAATATTTTCTGCATCATAGTACTTTTGTTTTTTATTTGGGTTGCAGAGAAAAGAGCAAGTGTCAGTCAGGAAAGGATGTCTTTTCAGAAATGAAAAAAAAAATCTTCAATCACTTGTGACTATTAAGGGCCTTTTGTGGTTTCTGTGATTAACACCATCTCTTCTTTTCTTGTAGAACATTCTGTGTAAAGTTTCCAGTTTTCCACATAGGTGCGCATTTTAGTTCCTCCATTTCTCAGTGACAGAGTTCTTCATTGGAGCAGGCAACCTGGGAACACAGCACAGCGATTGTTGTCACTATTGCCACAGCCTTACCCTTTTCTCCCCAGAATGAAGTTAGGGGCTTCTGGAGAATATATTACCAGTCAGGAAAGTTTCCAGAACTTTCTCACTTCTGTGTGAACTTGACCATTGATCCTCTTTTTTGCTAACACTTTTATGGAGATATAATTAATATATAAGGAATTGCACCTGTTTAATGTGTACAATTGGGTGAGTTCAGACATGCAGAGATACTCATGTAACATGAGCACAATCAAGAAGATGGACTTAGCCAACGCATCCCAAAGGTTCCTTGAGTCAGCATATGTGTGTAAGAATACTTAGCATGAGTTTTGTTGTAACTCATATTTGTTCGTAACAAATATTACCTCGTTAACCATAGGCGCTATATTTGGAGCTGGTCCATTTAACACAACAAACTCTATGCTCATTGAACAATCACTACCATTTCCCCACCTCTCACTTCACCAGCCTCTGACAACCACTACTGTATTCTAAGCCTCTGTGAGTTCTACTGTTTAAAGGTTCACAAAAGTGGACACATGCAGTGTTTGTCCTTCTGTGACTGGCTTACTTCACCGAGCATACTGTCCTCTGGGTTCTTCATGTTATTGCAAGTGGCACAATTACCCTCTTTACTTAAGGCTGAATAACATTTCATGAAATGGAATTATGCAAAACACACAAATGACCTTCTGCAATAATTAATTATTCTGCAATAATTAATAGTCCTACAGTATCAGCCAAAGCATAAAAATCCTTTCTCCTTCTTGACTAGGGCTGCTGAGATTCCCCAGCTTGTTTCTTTTGGTTTCCACTGCTCAGTAAAACAATCTCCCTGACTTTCCCTTTTCTCTTTGCCTTTCTATTGTCCTTATCTCTGCACATATCCTAACACTGTGATGATCCCCACCACCTTTCAAGCCTGTCTTTCCTGGAGCGCTTCTGGCCACACCCATTCACCTCTGCAGTGGGACTGGTGTCAGACTACACAATCTTTTCCTTCTCCTGGCTGCCTTCTTCTAGAAGGTACCTTGTCATACAGTGAAGCAAGGAAATAAAGCAGCCATTTGGGATAAACCGCGTGCCCAGAAGAAACAGGAAATAGGTCAAAGAGACCCTTTGTGATAGGGAGATTTACTGGATATTTAATTCAAAATAAAAGATTCCCCTTTCCCAAAGTTGAGTAGTGAGCTTCTTTTTTGTTAGTATGATACGTTCTGGAGAATCCCTTCCATCTGGAGATATTCCTTGATGCTTGGCAAGCACCTCCTATCCCCACCATGGAGCTGACAATCCTGACTATAACCAGGGACCATATTTATTATAGTGCCTATTCGTAATACATGTTCCTATTCCCTCAGCCAGTACTATATTGTGAGCTATTTATACTTTTCCTTCTCTTGTTTAATTATAACAACAATGGTGAAAAGTAGAAACTATTTTTATTTTAGAGATGAAGAAACCTAGGGTCAGGAAACCAAATAAAGTGCCCTGTGTTGCTGTTAAGATTCGCATTCTGTTCTTGTTTCATTTTGTTTTTCTTTGTTTTTGCTTACGTACCTTGGATTGAACTTGGGTCTTGCAAGGCAGGTGCCAGAATCACTGAACTAAATCCCTGGCCCACATGTTCTGTTCTTTCTGAATCCCAGGTCCTTGAAATGTCCACCAAGCCAAATTTTGTTTCTTTTTAACAATATAAATTTACATTTGTCCTCTATCCATTGAGCAATGCATTCCTCATCACTTCCCACAGGGGACAATCTCACACAAGCACACACACACGCACCCCTAGTATTTTTACCTCCTTTGGGTCATTGTCCCTGTCTTCTCCTTTGTCCATATATATATGAGTGTCCTACACTATGTGTTTGGCACATATTTGCTCATTTGATTTGTGTATTTCTCCTGGTCACGAAATTAAGACTAATATGGACTATAGAAATAATTGTCTTATTGAGATAGGAAGCAGAAATGAAATATAATGAGCAGAGAGAGAGAGAGAGAGAGAGAGAGAGAGGGACTGACTCCTCTGTTTTTTTCCAGGAAGTAATTCTGGCTGCTCTTCTCTGACAGATGAATGGGAGTTGGAGGAGGAGCCAACAGAAAAGTCTACGGAAGCTTCCTTTTCCGGCTTTGCCCTATCTCATCCTCCCAAGGAAAACTCCCAGTGTTCCTCTCCTTGGGCCCCATGGAAAGCATCTGGACATTTCCAAGAGAGTATTTTGGATCGTCCAAGTGAGTTTTTCTAATCTTTGCCACACTCAAAGAGCTTCTCCCCTCAGGGCTTGAGAATGACATAGGGGTGACTCATGTATTCTGAGGAACTGCTATCCACCTGTGCAGGGTGGGGAGACCTGGCCTGTGCCAGAGCCCTTGTCACACTTTCATGGAAGAGTTTGCATTTTGGAGTCCTCTTAGTGTCACCAGATCTATGGTGTTCCATTTTCTCAGAAACCCTGAAGACTTCTGGTAAAATGCTGGGTCTTAATAAAGCAAAACAAAAGAACATAGGTCTTTGTTATTTTATTCTTCATACTTAACTGTGTATTTGCCTTATTGCATAAGAAGTGAAAGAAAGAGAGAAAGAAAGAAAGAAAGAAAGAAAGAAAGAAAGAAAGAAAGAAAGAAAGAAAGAGGCAGCAATCAACATCTTTTCATGCTATGCCCCTGGCAAGAAAAAGAAAGGACTTAGAGGTATTGGTATTTCCTGTCAGAAGTAAATCTGGAAAAAGTTCAAAAACACTGAGTCAGGGTGAGGAGAGCCAGCTTTGTTGTTGTCATCTGGCCAAGATTCAAAGGCCACCTTCTAACTCTATGAACCACTGTAGAGTAGAATTTACCAGGCTCTCTAAGCAGCTTGCCAAACTCTAAAATTGAACATTTTCATCTGTATGTGGAGAGAATCCCAGTTTCTACCCTGTAATGATGAAAATGATTACCCTCAAGCGTTCAGTAGACCGTGTCAACTTCTGCTGAATGCTCCATGAATGTGAGGTTATTTTGTGAGACTGAGATTAAATGGAAAAATATTTTCCCGAACAAAACCTCAAATATTTTTACTGACCATCTCTTCCACTCCCCAAAACCAGTATGCCCTGAACATCTCGTTCCTGGGGCAGCTGTTGGATAAGTGTTCAAGGGTTTTATAAATTCCCTTTCAAGGGGATGGGATGACAGAGATGGCAGCTTTCATTGGTTAGGCAGTTTCCAGGTTATCAATGCCTAAAAGGCTCAACAGCCAGCCCCACCCCCCACCCCCGGAGCCCACTTGTCTCTGCTCCTCTGGCTCCTAGGGGGCCTATCTTTCCATACATTGTCTGCACTGCTGCTGCATGATTCACAGAAATCCACCACATTGCGCCACTCATTTCTTTGTGGAACACTCATTTAAATCCATTCATACTTCAGCATCCTTGTAGTGATCTTTATAGTTTTTCAAGCCCAATTTGCTTCTGTTAGGAAATGTTTTGTGAATACCACATTGAATTAGGGGAAGCGAAGAACAGAAACATGCTTTGGAAGGATGGATGAGTGTTCCACTGAACCCACAATAACTTATTAAGTTCACAGTATACATAAAATACATTTATAGCGACACAGTTTACTACTGCTACATTTTACATTGCCAGTCTTCAGCATTCCACCCACATTATGGGCTAAGTAGGTTTTGTAGCTGATTCAATCCTCATTCATAGCATAAATAGCAAAAATAAATACACTTGTAGCCTAAAATCATTCCAAGTTTTAAGTGACTGTTGCAAAATTGAGCTTTGGAAGCATTTGGCAAAATTAAATTGAAGTCTGTTCATGCATTCCCTTAAGTCTTTATCCTTAAACTAGCTCTGATTTCTTTTAGGTGATTGAAAGAATACCCAGGCCCATGATCAGTTTAACCGTTGTGTTTGTAATTGCTAAAGGATTTGCAATCCTTTCCACTGTGGCTTGACAGCAGTCACTGACTGCAGAGAGTTTTGCAAGGACAAATATTTCATCATATGTGTCCTCTTTCTTAGTCTTTAGAGACTTCTAGTATGGAAAATTGTGATTGTCTTTCCCTTCCCCACCTCAGACAAAACATTATGTTCTGTCTAGATGTGGTTTTTAAATCTTGGCTCTGGGACCTGGTAGCTGAGTGACCTTGGACAATTTCATCATTTCTCTCTTTTCCTTATTAGCCTGTTAAATGAACTAATGCATGAAAACTGTTTGGGAATTATAAGGCATTCTAACAATTCTAGGCACTATTATTGTTGTTATTATCAACGTCCTTAAATTTCTGACCCTGGCATAAACTTTGCAAGACTTTTTCTATCAGTAAAGTGAAAGGCAAACCCAGAACTGCATAAGCAACATAGCCTTTTATTTTACAGTGATAAAGCAACTTATTATTTGCAGAAATTTTCTAATGAATGGTCCTGTGTAGCAGTAGGTGATTTTATTTTTTTTATTTATGACAAGTTGCTTAAACCGGCATACCTTTGAGAACTTATTTTTGTTGTATAAAAAAAGAAGCTGCAGTATCATTTTGTTCCGAGATTATCTAATCAGCAACAATTTTGCATTCATTTATTTCACCCTGCTCTTCTCCTTAGAGATCAGTTTGCTGCGTGAGGTCTCCTTTCAGGCAATCCTGCTTGTGGCATGCTTCATCATTTCTGTGTGTGCCAGGTAATTCTGCTTTGATTTTCATGTAATGGTATTTCATAATTAAGGAAGCTCTAATGGGTTAATGACTTCCTTGCCTTATTCCACAAAGCACTGTTGGTAGCTCTGTGGACAAGACTTGCTCATTCATCCATCATTATAAGTGTGTTTTTCTCTCTTGCCTCCCTTTTCTCATCCTCTAACAAAGCATACAAAAGCCAGTGTATCTTGCTTAAAATTGGACAGTGCGATGTATCAGCCTTTGTGTCAACTCGGAGCAATTACAGATTCATTCTAACTTCCCCTTTCAAGAATTCAAGAGCATTTGAAGTCTACAGCAGGGCCCTGAAAATCCTAACCAAGACTCCATTTCTTCTGTGTTTTTTTATCCTAAGATAGGTCCAGCTAAAAAGTAAAAGGTCCTGTGGAGAATAATCATATTTATTTGGGACTAACAGAGTACTGCAAGGGGAACACCCAGAGTTAGAGCAGGCACATACTCGGAAGTTGAGATAAGGTGAAGTTTTTAAAGGCAAAATGAGGAGGATTGCATCAGACACTCTGAAACAAGATCTTTGGCCACATGGTCAATAACAAGGGCGAGGTTAGTCTGAAGTTGAAGAGACAGTTGCAGACAGATGTTTTTGTAGAAATGCTTTGATTGTAAGGCTGAGGGAACGTCTGTGCAAACTGGTGGTTCTAGTAGAGTGTTTTGTGATAGCACTATAAGGCAACTGTGTGTGAGAATCCTTCCTGCATAGCCTCCTGGTTTCATTTATTTTTCATTGGGGTTGATGCATGTAGCTCCATTTTGATTCTGACAATGGTCACATTCCTTTACACATGAAGTCTGTGTTCCAGAGGAGCCCCCTCAGTATCACAGAGCTGTTAGTGCTCAGGTCTGGTTGTAAGTGTTTCTGCTCTACCCACTGTCCCACCTGCCCTTGCCTCACCTTCCTCGCTTTTCTGTGCTCCAAGTCAGGCCCCTTAGCACTGAACCCATTCATGCCTCAGGACCTTTTCACATGCTGTTTTCCCATACCTGGTACAAGTCTTCCCCAGATATCTTCCATTAGTGTGACCTTACTTCTTTTTGGAATCTGCTCAAATGTCACAACATCAGAGTGACCTTCTTATACTTCTTCTTATAAACACCACACTACTCTTTCACATACACACACACACACACACACACACACACACACACATTGCTTTACCTTTCTTCAGAGAACTTATCACCTTCTGACCTATTATATGTTCATCTGTCCAGATATTGATGATCTAGCTCTCCATACAAGGATGTGAGCAACCTAAGAGCAAAGACATCATGGGTTTCTTCACTTCTCTATGCTCACGGCCAAATCTCATTGACATTCAGTGAGTCGTATACCTGGGGGCTTCGGTCAGTACTGCTGCCTGAGGCAAGTCCTGCCTCTTGAGCTTCAGAATCTGCCCTATTACTCAGGAAAGCTTCTTCACAAATGCCGAGTCCTAGAACTATCCCGTGAGAGGCTAATTTAAGCTTGGTGAGAATTGGTATTTTAGAACAAGCTCCCCAGTTAATTACGAGGTTTGGGAAGCATTTTTAAATTACAATGGAACCAAAAGAACAAAAGAGGGGAGGCATGATGGTTAAAAATAAATTTACAAAATTCTGCATTATAAGTCCCAAATCGGGAGACCACAGTGTGTTGAGTATAATGAAGGCTCAGTGAAAGCAGGTCAGGGAGCAAAACAGGTTGCTTCTTTTAACTTAGTATGTCCTAAACTTTTAAGTTGACTGGGAGCCCTTACTTTTATTTCATAGGATCACTAATGAAGTGAAGCATACAGCTTTTTTTCCCTTTGGTCTCACACTTCCAGTTGAAACTATGTTCTATAGTCATTTAGGCTAAACACTTTCCCCCCTTCCCTTCAATGAGGTTCCATCATATATTTGAAATATAATCAGGTTCTTTTGTATGCATTCTACCCTGGGACTTCTCAACTTCCTGACTGGCTTTTAAATTTGCACATATTAAGGTTTCCTCTGTGTTATATAGTTAGTTCTATGGGCATTGCTTAACAAATAACATCATGTATCCACCACTGTAGTGTCATACCAATTACTCTCAACACCCTGAAAAGAGTTTTTTCTCTAGTCAAACACTTCTCTTTCCCCCAACTCCTGGAAACTGCTGGTCTGTTTTCTGTCCCCATAACCTTATCTTTTCCAGAACATTATATTAATGTGATCATAAATTATGTAGCCTTTTAGGTCTACCTTCTTTCACATAGCCAAGTGCATCCTTATCCATGAATAAGAACCATTCATATTGTTGCATAAATTAATAGGTTATATTTTCATTTTGTAATTTATTTTTAATTAAGACCAAGCCTTGTTTTACAAAAAAAAGGTGAGAGAGGAGGTAAAAATATAATCTTGAATTTCACAGTGAATTTTACTCTAGATAGGACTATAGGTTTTCCCACCACTCCTGTTTTCTTTTAATTCCTTATTCTACCAGAATCCTTTCTCTCATAGAGTGAACATATATACTCATACATATTCATATATATACATATATATAAGCATATATATATATATATATATTCATCTCCTGTATGATACATATTTCTTATAAGAACATAGCTATCAGGTAGTGAAAATCAGGTTCCTACCTGTTGGAACCCACAAAAATGATAAATGTGCTACTCTAACAGTTTATTCCTGTTTGTTGCTGAACACCATTGCAGTGTGTGGATAGATCACAGCTTGTTTATACATTCTCCTAACAACATTTTCACTGCTTCCAGTTCTTGAAATTTTTAATAAAATTTCTACAAAGAATCACATGCAATTTTTTGAGACAAATGGTTTCATAGCAAGCAGTGGTCTTGCAGGTTATATAAGTTTATCTTCAATTTTGCATGAACATACCACACTTGCTTCTAAAATGTTTGCACCATTTTCATTGCTATCAGTAATGAGAGTTCCTATTGCCCTGAATCTTTTCTGGCATTTGTTACTATTATTGTGGGGGTTTTGGTCATTCTAAAAGAAGTGCAGTGGTAGCTCCCCACTTTAATTCACAGTACCTCATGTCAAATGATAGTGAGCATCTTCTCACCTGCTTATGTGCTACATGTCTCTCTTCTTTGGTGAGATGTCTGGCTTTGTGTTCAGGATTTCTGCTCACTTTCTAAGGAGATTATTTTCTTATTCATTACTGAACTGTAACTTTTCTTGTATGTTCTACATAGAAGTCTTTTACTGGATTTATGATTTGAAAGTATTTTCACTCAGATGATCCTTTATCTTTTCTTTGCCTTAACAGCGTCTTTCACGGATAAAAAGTTGTGTACCTTTATGGTAGATGTTTTACTCTGTGGCTCATTTTCAACTAAATTTTGTATAAGGTATGACACAAGTGTGGAGGTTCATTCTTTTGCATGGGAATATCCAACGATGTCAGTTGCATTTGTGGGAAAGACTATGCTTTCTCCATTGAATTCCTTTTACTTCTTTCTTTCTTTCTTTTTTTCTTTCTTTCTTTCTTTCATTCTCTCTCTCTCTCTCTCTCTCTCTCTCTCTCTCTCTCTCTCTCTCTCTCTCTTTTTGTACTGGGGATCAAACTCAGGACCTTGAGCTTGTGAGGCAGGCAGCAGAACCACTGATTTAAATCCCTGGCCCCTTTTACATCTTTCTTAAAAATTAGTTTACCATATCCATTTGAGTCTATTTCTGTGTTCTCAATTCCTTTTCACTGATCTACATGTCATCCTTCTGCCAATACCACATGCTCTTTATTACTGGTTGTCTCAGTTACTTTTCTCATTGCTGAGACAAAATACCCAACACCCAAAGTTAAGAAGGGAAGGTTTATTTTGGCTCATGGTTTGCAGAGGCTTTAGTCAATAGCTGACAGAGAACCATCACAGAAGAGAAGTAGTTCATGATAGGCAGAAGGCAGCAAACAAGCAACAACAACAATGACAAAAACAAGTAACAACAGAAGCTACTTTGTGTCCCTTCATATTCTATGTAGGGTGGGTAGCACTCACTCCAAGAACTATGCCAAGTCAGTCAGTGTACTGACTTAGTAAGCACACCCCGTTAATCCTAATATCACACAATTTAGATCCAGCCACTTCTAAAAAGCCTCACCTATGACTTCATGAGGCTTTGGGGACACACTTAAATACAAACCATAACACTGCTGTCTTATAGTAAATCTTTTGTTTCCATTAAATTTATTGGTACATTCAAAGCAAACAGTACAGTTACATTTATCATTGGGAGCTTGTACCTTTACATGGTATATCTTGGTTCTTGTTTTTCCTCCATACCCCTCTCGTCCCTTCACCCACTTCACCCTTCCCTATCTATAAAGACTTTGTTTTCATTTTTTCATTTTTCACATTTTTTCTTTTTCCTTATTTCCTTTCCCCTCCCCTTCCCATTTCTCCTTTAGCCATTTTCACAAGAGCTAGGATTAGAGGTTCCATTTGACCCAGCTATTCCTCTGCTGTGTATCTTTCCAAAAGAATTGAAAGAAACATACCACAGTGATACATGTGCACCCATGTTTATAGTGGCACAGTTTGTAATATCTAAAACTTGGAAACAACCCAAATGCCCATCAACTGGAGACTGGATAAAGAAGATGTAGTTTTTCTATAAAATGGAATACTGCTCAGCCACGAAGAATGAGAAACTAGAAACATTTATAGATAAATGGTTGCACATTGAGGCTATACTCTTAAGTGAAATAAATAGGACACACTTGAGTAAATACCAAATAGTTTCTCTGGTGTGAAAAATTAAAAGTGTAAATAAGGTTCAAATGGTATGATTGGGAGTGTCTTGAAATCCTAAATCTATACTAAACTTAAATTGGGCAGGGCCGGGGATTTAGCTCAGTGGTTCTGCCATCTGCCTTGCAAACTCAGGGACCAGAGTTCAACCCCCAGTATCAAAAAAAAAAAAATCATTTAAATTGGACATGTTCTTAAATCTAAGCGATCCTGTTGTTTCAGATGGTGTATGGGAGGAATATCAGCCAGTGTATTCACATGCACATCGGTGATAACTATTGCTTGTAAGTAACTTTTTCCCAAATTGCTGCTCTGATTTCTGTATTTTGTTTGAATTGATCACTTTTGCACATCGGTGATAACTATTGCTTGTAAGTAACTTTTTCCCAAATTGCTGCTCTGATTTCTGTATTTTGTTTGAATATTGATCACTTAAATTAAAAAAAAAATTTTTCCTTTTTTCTATCCAAGATGTTTTGAAGTCATTTTTGCTCAGTCTTGCCAACTATTTCAAAGCCATCACCTGTTCTTGGTAAGTGTTGCTTGTGTTGTCATCTGAATAAAAATGCCGTATGAACCATTCTCACATTGGAATGGCTTCTGCTGAGTAATATATGACAAAAAACACATACGGGAAAGGGCCTGGCCATCCGGCCTGGACAACACTTTCAGTTACTGCTAAAATCTAATAGTATTATTATTGTGCCTCCTAAATTCTTCTCAAAATAAATAAAGCGAACTTTTAAGGCAGCAAGTTTTAGGAAATAATAAGAAACGAATTGTCCCTTTTATAGGTTTTAAATGTGCCATTTTAGATTCATAGCATTGCACTTTACAGACACCTCACATTGAGAGACTTTAATAGTTTTCCTAATGGCTGGCGAACTGCCCAGGAGATGATCTCAGTTACAAACTGATTTCTCTGCCCTTTCTGGCTCACTTAATTGTCCCTCTGTGTGCTGATGGTCATTTCAGCAGATTTTAAAGGGTTACCGAGGTCTGGGGGAGATGCTTAGAGAATTTCAAGCAGTTTGCACAGGCTGTACCCTTGCAAGGCTGACAGTATTAATGATCTTCCCTTGACTGTGACTGCAGAAGCCAGCAGCTATAGCTCAGTAAAAGACGTCTGTGATTCAAACTGGTGCACTGGCCTTTGCTCTTGACATCGTTTCCCTGTTTATGTCATCTTTCTGTTAAACTGATCTCCAAATGGAGCTGGCTGAAAATTTATTTTGTTTACAACTCCAGACAATATTGATTTGCTAACACTTTGAGTGATGCATCTCATAATTTCTACTCAGGCTTCTGAGGGAAGCCATACAAGCAGCTAATTTTATTTAGTTTGCTAGGTAGAAAATTGGATGTGGGGATCTCTAAAAATTTATTAATGTATTATCCTTGTAAAAATATGACATTTGTTTAAAAACTCTTCTAAGAAGATACTCACCTCCCATTATAGATGTCTTTCTAGCTCTGTGTAGAAGGTACATAAATGCCTTTATGGTATTAATACAGTCATTCAGGGATGCTCAGATTATATGCTGAGCTGACCAATAGACAGAACTGAACTAACTAATATAGGTTGTCAAAAGGTTGTCATCCAAAGAGCCACTCAAAAACCTACCATGCAAACACAAAAGTATTATGGCTTGTCAGACAGTGAGATTGCAGGCATCCTTTCTCTCTGCTTAGATTTACCTAACAGTTGGATAGAATGACAAGTTACATTCTGCAGGGAAGTTCTGGTGAGGACAGTCTTCCTCAAAGTGTGGATGTGACTCTCTGCTCTGAATCAGCCAGGGCATTTGTTTACAGAGTAGGTTTCTCGATCCCTATCCAGGGTTTTGAATCAAAGTTTCTGAGAGAGCTTCATTTTTGACAAACTATACAGATAACTTTATATATTAATTATGAGAATCTTAGAGAGACGACTGCTGAAACCTTTACCCCTTGATTTCTGCAGAGCCATTACTTAATCTCTTGACTCTGTAGGATGTGCTATGATGTGTGCTGTACTGGATGGGGTAGCAAATTAAGCTCCGAGACATTTATGGAGTCTCTCCCATGGTACAGAACCAAGGCATGTGACTAGCTAGTCTCAAAATCTCAGAGAGCAGCATCAAAGCAGAGGACAACGTGAAGTTGCATGTTAATAGCTAAGGCCAAGTAGAGAGGTAGCAGAGAGGCTAGGGAATACCTGGAGGGAACTTTCCCCTTATAGTTTAAATCATTCATCTGTTGCTCCCTCTACATCTTTTCCTATTTCCTGCTCACCAGGCCTGTCTTAGTCATTTGCTAGTTGCTGGAACACAATACCTAACCATGGCAATATGAAGGAGGAGAGGTTCATCTTGGTTTATGTTTTTAGAGGCTTATTCCTTAGCTGGCTGGATCCATAGAGGATAGCTGCCGGGTGTGTGGCAATCAGGAAGCAGAGAGGGTTGGACAGAGAGCTACATTCTTCCAAGTCACATGACCAGGCCCCACCTCCTAAGATCACATTTAGCTACACCACCCCTAATTCAGTCACCTTTTCAAAAGTCCTGCCTGTTAATATTTGAAGCTTTGAGGGACATTGAGATTTAACGCATAATAGGGCCTTATAAACCCATACTCTTGCCTTCAAGACCTGTGAAAACAGGACTGTTGGCTTCATTTTTTGTATTCTCCTCAATGCCTTGAAATAAAGAAACACTCCATCAATATTCATCACACTGAAGTTATTAGCTGCACTACTTCTTGACATACTTTCTTGTAACCAAGAGTTCTATGCCTGTATATTGAAGATTTTTTTCCCCTTATACACAAACATATCCAGAAGCTAAACACACAGCTATTGAAATCAAGTCAAGAATGCCTCGTAAGCCTCAGGTCACAGTCTGTGATGCGATGCTAAGGAAGCGAGCACTGAGTTTGGTTCAGCAAATGTTACTGCCACAGCCCTTCCACACTCAGCCTGCTGTGTGCAAGGTTAGATCAGATTGGCACTTTCCTTCCTTTCCTTAGCACTTCATTCACTTTTCACATCATAGTACAACTCCTTTTCAGCTGCTTTTCTCATTCCATCTAAAATCTGCAGTAAGGGGGTGCTGTTAACCTTGTTCACTGTTGGCCTGAATGGCCCCTGAAAATGAAGGTTATCACGGGCATCTCAGGTGGCTCAGGAGACAGATGGGTGGTTGAGAGAAGAGGGGAAAGGAAGATAAATGATTAAGGTGTGCTTTGTACATGTACTAGTTGCCCAAGATGCATGTCATATAATCATTATGTATTGCAAACTTATACAGATTTTAAAAGAAAGTAAAATATAAAGGATAAAAAGATGCACAGTTAGCACATTTATGACCGCTTAGGAAGAGAGGGTGTAATATTTGTCCTCTCTTCTCTGAGATGGAGGAGATATGTTCTTATCCTTGGTGAGCGAATGAATAAACCATAGGGAATAAAAATACAGAGAAAATGTACACATTACCCTCAAGGCTGTCCTGTTGGGGGTGGGGAAAAGAAAACAATAAGAAATGGCCATTAACTAAGTCCCGAGCTGGACTTAGGAACTGAAACCTTGGTATTTCTGAGAAAAGAGAAAATGCCAGGGCTGGGGATGTAGCTCAGTGGTTCTGCCGCCTGCTTGGCAAGAGCAAGGTCCTGAGTTCAATCCCTGGTACAAAGCAAACAAACAAACAAAACAACAATGAAAATAGAGAAGACAGAAGCAGAATGGTGCAAACATGAGCAAACACAGAACCTTGCTAAGCTGAGGCCCCACTTTTCCTACTTGTGATTATTAGGTTGGTTGTGTACGCGTGTGTGTGCATCCACATACAATGATTAATTTCCTGTGTATGTGCTTTAATTGTGCATTTCCTCTTGTTTTTCTAATCTAGGTTTGACAAAAGTTGACAATGCTTTAGGAATGCCTCCAATGAATGTCTTCAATATGAACATCTGGAAATTGTCTGACTCAAAGCCTACTTAAAATCACCTCCTTTACTGGATACCTGAGGAAAAACTATTTTAATCTCACTTTTGTTTTTGTGAAATCTCAGTGTCCCATCACAATGGTAATATGCTCATGAGAATAGTATGGATTTCTCTTTCCTTTGTAAATCCAAAGCATGTGAAATGGAGTGGGAAAGTACTGGGAGATGTGACGGAGAACAGAACAGCAGGAGTGAATGTTCCCCTCAGATAGTAGTTCTCACTACTGTTTATGCAAATAGTGGTTTTCAGATGCTGATTTTTATTAAAGAATTTTGTGAGAGGCTCGTAACAGCTCAGATTCCTGGAGCTGCCAGCATGTAACTGTGCTTTAAGTGAACAAGAGACAAATTCATGTACTCTATACCAATGTGAAAGCAAATCAATGTGGTTTGCACATAGACTATAAAGTTGCAAGAGTTCATCTTTTCCCCCAAGGAAATGGCTTGATGTTAGATGGTGACAGTCGGCTTGGCTGTGACTTGTCTCCCAAGTGTAGCTGTGTTAAGAAGTGGGACTCCAGGGATATCTTTAGGTCACTGGGACACTGCTCTTCGACGGGGTTCATGTAGTTTTCATAGGACCTCAGTCAGACCCTGGTCTTTTTCTCTAGCTTCCTGTCTGACCCTATGATCTCTCACACATACTCACACCATTGTGATACCACCCACCACAAGGCTCTCACAGAGCCAAGCAGATGCTGGTGCTAGGCCCTGGAACCTCCAGAACTGTCAGCTAAATGTGTAAACCTCTTTCCTTCATTACAGCACAGCCACAAGAGATAGATGAATACCACAGGCTATTGTTGATGAAAGACTGGGCAAGAGTGTCATTTTCTGGGAGGTACGTTCTTTCTTCGTACCATTTTATTCTCCAAGTTCTTAACTTTCTTGGAGCTCAGGATTATCGTTCACTGAAATCACAATTAAAATAAATATATAACACAGGAAAAATTGCTAGGGGCAAGACATAGAGTGCCTTAAAACTTACAGAGAGGGCGGAGTTGTACAACAGACTGGAGGGTTGTACAAGATGCTCCCTTTTTGTACCTCTCACTTGATGAATGCACAGAAAACGAAGATGGCCTGCCACTCACACTTGTTCTGTGTCACATCCCCCTACTAGAAACTTCTGTATGGAGAAAAATTATCTTTGCTTGATATGGCAATATCAAAATATCACTTTCTAAATATTTTCCTTTTAGCACCCTTTGGGTTGAAAGACATCATTAGCAAATTACATCACCTTTTCATGTATCTATTGTCTATTTTAATGTGTTCTTTGGAAAAAAGTCTATTCAGGTTTTTGTCTATATTTTTAATTGGGTTGTGTTTTTTTCTATAGGGTGTATGACCTTCTTGTGTATTTTGAGTATGCACTCTTTATCAGTTATAAGAGTTGGGAATATTTTCTCCCCATCAATAACTTATCTTTTTGTTTACAGGTTCCTTCACTATCCACATTTTTCATTTACTACTGTCCCACTTGTTTATTTTTGCTCTTGCTGTCTGAGCCATGTATGTGATATTGAAAAAAAAAATCATTGCAAGGCCAATATCCAGAGCTTTTCCTCTAGATTTTCTTCTCATAGTTTCTGGTCTTATATTTAATTCTTCAATCCATTCTGAACCAATTCTTATATATGGCTTAAGATATAGATCTGGTGTTATGATTTTGCTTGTGAATATACAGCTTTCTCTATATAGCATTTATCAGAGAGACTATCTTTTCCCCAAATGTCCCCAAGCAAGCTATTTAGTTTTAAGATAATTTGGCCATCTACACTCCATCTTCTAGGTCTTCACAGCCTCTGCTCTTCCATTACTACTAAAGACCTAGAAGTCCTCACTTGTGTTATCTGGAGAGTCTGCTGTCGCAGTCCTGGAGGTGTTGCTGATGACAGGTGAAACTAGTGAAAAGTACGAAGCATGTGCCAGGGCCATGCTAAGGTCTCACCCCACTTACAGCTCCTTCCATCTTCACAGATCAGCTCTTCCATCTTCCTGAAGTAGCTGTAGTTTGATTCTGTGATGATTTGTGCAACCGTTTCAAGTCACTTTGTCAGATTTCAGTGGAAAAGAGCCATTGGCAAAATTTGACTCTAAGGTTTCCACACAAAATATTTCTAACCTCTCAATGGCTTAGTTTCTGTCGCCTATAAACATTGCCTGAACCTTCAACAAGTGAATGTCATTGTTTGTTGTTCTGACTGGGAAATGGCTGACTCTGGAGGTAGGTGTATTGCCTGACTCCCTCCTGCTGGAGGAAGGACTTTCCACAGTGGAGGCAGTGTGACCGATTGTCCTGATATGTCAAGCTCATTGGAGCGAGAGACACACAGCAGATCAGTAAAGTTCCTTTCTGAGTGTATCCATGTAGGTCCTTGAATACTGTGTGTGGTGCCTCTCCTGTTCCTCTCTGGCACTCTTCCACTCCTCTGCTCCCTGGCTGCAGACTAACTAGCCTTGCTCTACAACACCATGCTGTTCCTGCCTTGAAACCAGCTAGCTAGGGACTGAATCCCCTGAAACCTTGAGCTAAATTAAACTGCTCTTTTTTTTTGGATACTGGGGATAGCATTCAGGACCCAATGAGCTAAATCCTTGACCCACCTCTCTTCCTTTAATTTGTGGGTGTTGGGTATCATGTCAAGCAATAAGAAAGTTGACCAATGCAGTAGCCAATGGCCTTGACCTCACAGCACACAACTAAAGCCAGTCCTGGACAAAGCTGTGTGATTTATTGACATGGTCACCTGTGTGCCTTTCTTTCTTTCTCTCCTTTGCTGACACACTATGAGCTCAGCTTTGGCTCCTGTTTACTCCAACAGCACTACTGATCCAGCAGACAAAAGACTGAGTTGATTACAGGGGATAAACACCACCCAACTGATTGCTTCTCTTATTTAAAGTTGTTGTGCAGGTTTACAAAAACAATTACGACTTTTGGGACATCAGAAAGATTATATAAGTATTTGGTCTCCATCCTTGCTTCCTGACAAGGAGCTTCTAACAGCCCTTTAATTTACTGAGTGATGAGGGTGATAGGAACTTCTTATACAGAGCTCCTGAATCCACTGGGGACTCTCGCAGACTCACCTGAGACAGAGGCTGAGAGCCTGACTGCTGACATGTGCAGCCAGGAGAGGTACAACCCACGGAGTCATCCCAGCCAAAGGCTGGCCTGGCTCCTCTGAGGGCTCTGGGTGTCATGCAGCCCTTGCAGCAGGCATGTGGCTTTAAGGAGCTATGTGTTCAATACACCAGACCCCCAAATACCCCGAGTCCGCTCTTTGGAAGCCTGTGACTTGCTACAGTTTATAATAGCAGTCAGAGTATGACTGTGTGTGTGCATCGATTATCTTTTATTTCTTCATTCAGCAAATATATATGTAGTCTAGCTCTGTCAAGAGCTAGGCTTGGCCCCGAGGATATAACACTGAGGCTTCCTGCACCTTCGAGATCTCACGTGACTCCCATTGCTCTATGAAATGGGTAGCACTGTCATGTTTGGACTTGCCCTGTTAGACAGAAGAATGCAATGAAACCAATGTGTAGTTTGATAAATTCTAAGGCTCAAACATGAAAGCACACAAGACTCTGCTAGGCCTCCAGGCTCTCCTGACCTGCACCTCGCCCTCAAAATTGCCACTCTCCCGGCTTTTATGATCATGACTTCTGTGCCTGGCTTTGTGCTTTTACTTTAGCACACATCCGAAATACCATTCCGTTCCCTTTGGTTTGTTTAATATGTCTTTGGGGCCTTTGTTTATGCATAGGTTCTTGCTTCTCCTTCCATTTTTCCCTACCTTTGAAGTGTATCTCTTGTGAAAGCGGAATGATTTGTCTGGTAGTTTCCTCAATTGCAGTTTTGCTGATTGCTTTCTGTGGTGAAGTTTAATGTTTCCCCCAGTCTCCACGTTTCCTCCCGAAGGACAGTTGATTATAGAAGTGGAAGCATTTTTAATTTTGAGCTTTTGGTGGCTACAACTATTTCAAAGGTACTCTCTCATTCTCCATCAAGAAAAGATACAATATCTTTTTGTGTTATTAGCAGCCATTTCTATTCAGCGCTTTGACCTTCAAGTCATTTGGGTTAAAAAAGTGATGCTTTTTGTTTCACTGGTGTGAGAAGCTGAAAGTGGAAATAAGAACTGAAATGTACACCAAACATTGGGAAATGGGAAGACAGTGTCTGGATGAAAGGGGGAAAGGGATGAGAATAAAAGAGAGATAATCAAAGGAAAGAATGAAAACAAAGCTTTAGTACATAAAGTAGGGGGAAATGGGGGAAAATAAGAAGCAAGATACATCATGTACTGGTACAAATTATGATGAATGTTATCATTATGTGTATCTAAAATATATCAATAAAGTTTTTGTAAAAAAAAGTGATGCTTTTCCATTCAATCATATGTTCATCTATTTTTAGGGATTGGTTTGTACTTAGAAATATCTGATTGCCTAGGAATTCAGTTTCTATGGGAAAGAAAGAATGAATACTTACCTCTTTCCTTTCATTTGCCAATTTTAAAAACAGAGTTCCCTTTTGTCTTTCAAAAGTGGTCAGGATCCTCTGTATAATAAAAGTTTTTTTATTTATGAAGAAATCATGTTTCATACATAGATTTCCTCAGAAAGGACGCCTTTTGGGTTCCAAACTCTGTGTGCACCAAGACATCAAAAAAGTTGGGATAATAAATTAAAGTGTAAAAAATTGCACAGAGACTCAGCTTTTAATGTTCAGCCAGACAGTATTTATTTTGAGGCCCCTACTATCTGCAAAAGCAAAGCCAGGTACTAAACGTGTGAAGATTCAATGCCTGCCTTCAGAGAGCTTGCTGTTTAGCAGGACACAAGGCATTGCATAAAATGAGAAGAATGAACACCATGTAGCCAATGCTGGCAAGAGGTGCTGAGAAGTGTAGAGGTATTGTTGGTCCTGGCTGCTATAACAAAACACAGAGACTGGGTGGCTTACACAATAAACATTTATGTCTCATAGTTCTGAAGCCAGGGAAGCCCAAGATCAAGGTGCCAGCAGGTTCGGTGTCTGTTAGGGGCTCTCTCCTTGGTCTGTGGATGACCATCTTCTAGTTTTGTCCTCATACTTGCAGAGACCTAGTGTTTCCCCTTTTTCATATGAGCCATTCATGGGGTGGGGGAGGCTCATGACCTGATCATTTTCTCAAGTCCTTACCGCCTCATATTATCATACCAGGGATTGGGGCTTCAATATATGAATTTGGAAGGGTTCACAAACAAACAAGCCATCATGACTACTTACTTAAACATGTACCAAATACCGGCAGAGATTCAATACTTACTGAGTGGAGCATCCTTCTTTTGACTTACGCAAGTTTTCTAAAGCCTTTTACTAGGGATGTTATTCTGCTGCTTTAGAAGATTCAGTTCATCCTTGTTTTAGCTTATCCATCCATACACAAATTTACTCAATAATTACAGTTACTGTTAGCTACCTGGTGTTTTCTAGGAACCAGGATTGCTTTTAATGAAGAAGAAATTATCCCTCTCTCAAGAAGCAATTGTCAGCAGACAGAAGGGTTAAACATATATTTCAAGTGTCAAACATACTTAAATAAATAAATGAGTGCATTAAAATATTTACAGGACAGAATTTTTAGTAATCGACACAAATTCTTGATCTGGGTTGATAGGAACGGCAGTACTGTGTTCTCTTCTTGAGAGCAGAGCAAATTAGGGAATGGGAAGAAAAGGAAAATTCCAAAAACAGGGAGAAGGGAGAAGAAAAGACAAGAAACAAGCACAGTGGTAAACAGGGAGCAAACCGGGATAGGGAACATGACCACTGGAGAAACTGCCCTTCAGGGTACTGCCGCTGGCAATTTCACAATGCAGGTTTACTAACCCTAGTGACAAGCCCTCCATGCAGATGTGGTTGTTATTATGTGCTTGCGTAGAGAGACTATGGTGCCAGCTGTTTGATCAAATGCCAGTTCAGATGTTGCTGAGAAGGAATTTTGTAAATGTGATTTATTTACAATCATTGACATCAAAGTAGAGGACCCTCTGTGGTATCGGTGGGCCTCATCCAGTCTATGGAAGGCCTTAAAAGCAAAGACCAGGATTTCCTCCCAAAAGAAGGACTTGCCTTCAGACTGCAATGTAAACATTGCCTGAGTTCCCAACCTGCGTCCTCAAGACTAGCACCTCCCACCTACCTGAATTTTTAGGCTGCCAGCTTGATCTACACAATTTGGACTTGTAACCTTTTAAAGCCTTAA